AGAGTGTTGTATCCAATTATACATTGCTCATAATTACTATACTATGCGTTGCTGCATTGATTATTAGGCAGGAACGTAATGGGTTAGCACAGAATTGCAACTAGCCAAGGAACAAAAGTGAAAAAGTTTAATAGAAAAGAAATATATAGTATTAAAAGAGTTTAGGCGTAATATGGACCAACCAAAAAAAAATTAGTTTATATATTTATTTTTATATATATATAAAAGAAAAATGGGTATGTTTGGCAGGCTTGATAGTAAGTTGGCATATTCTCCTCTGCTCATTAAAATCCGGAACAACATTCACATGGGTTATACAAGTAAATTATCATAAAAACATAAAAACACTTACCATAACACCTTCAGAGGCACCAACAACAAGCAGGGCACCATCCGACAACCTCAATTAATGCAACAGTCATCTCATCGGAAAAATTCTCATGCACAGGCGTATCCATAACATTGCACAAATAGCTCTTCCCATTGGAATCCTCGAGCACCACGCCACACACTCGATCTTAATCTCAAGATCCTCCTCTCCTGCTCACTGATCCTCGTCGGTAAACATCACAAGTCTCTCCCTCTCGGTATCAAACATCAAGAACTTCTGGGTCTGCTCGACAAGATGTCCATGAAAATGGTCTTGCCGTGTTGAAGGTGGCCAACGAGAGCCACGTGGTGGACGAGGGCAGGGTTCAAAGCGAGGACGAGCGGGAACTCGGTGGAGACGTAGGTGAAGAAGGCCCTGGCCAGGGTGAGCTCGAACAGGACGGTGCGGACGGGCTTGATGATGGGCATCTCAAGAGGCTGCTCGTCCTCGTCCATGACTAGGATTTCGACGCCCTCGCAGTCGGTGTCAGAGGGATCACGGAGATTTGGGTGGACGTTCGTCGGTGACGGATTTATGAGAAAGTCGGTGAGAAAGAGATTTATAAGGGGGAGAGTCAGTGAGAGTCGGTGAGAGAGTCGGTGAGATAGTCGGTGACTGTTCATTAACTAATAAATGAAAATTTATTCAGATTTACACAATGACCATAAGAAGCTGATGTTGTTCACTCACTAATAAATTAAAATCTATTTAGATTTACACTGTGATCATAAGACAGATATATCTCTTGATCTCGGGACATATCACTATAAAATACAACCAATATCCTATCAATTCTCTAAAAATCTTTCGTTAAGTCTTCTAAGGAAGTAGAACTCACACTCACTCTGGGTGTTGATAACTATATATTTCTAAGGTTGTTTGACCTCGTCGCGATCGTCGTTGATGCCACTGGTGAATATCTAAGGTTGTTTAATCTTTAATTTAGTTTTTGTCTTTTTAACGCTACATAAATATCTATTTTGTTGACCATGCTGGTAATAATCTATTTATAAGGCTGTTTGATCTCTAACGCTAACCCTAACCCTAACCCTAAACCCTAAACCATAAACCTAACCCTAACCCTAACCATAACCCTAACCCTAACCCATAACCCTAACCCTAACCCTAACCCTAACCTAACCCTAAACCCTAAACCTAACCCTAAACCTAACCCTAACCCTAAACCCCAACCCCAACCCTAACCCAACCCCAACCCTAACCCTAACCCTATTCTTCATTCATTTGACAAGGTCGTGACTTTGTCGGTATATTCTTTTCATTGAAACCTTTAATATAAGGTAGGGAAACAATATGTTGTTTCCTATTCCAGAATGCATTGGGAACGTCACTGCATTCCCTTAACTTGTTGCAAAATTATAGATGGCTTGTGTCTTATTCATTTCATGGCTAAAGTGGAAATTCCGTGGATTTGGACTTGGTCATTTGAAACAAGTTATACTGTTTCGCATCTTCCAATTTTGTAAAGAAAATTCTGCTATAGGTGGTGGAATGGCATTTGCCTAGACTTAGGTCTTTTTGCCGAAGATAACCGGATGATTCAACTCCATGCCTTGGGTTTACTCATGATGATACCAAGGTTTTAATGGCAGAATGATAACTCTGAGGTTGGGTGCCTAGATCTTACTGAGGACAGCTAGGACTTTCGCCCTACTGAGGGCCGCCCTGATGGCCAGATGGTAAATAAAAAACCTGAGGTTGGGTGCCCAGGACTTACGTTAGGCCTGGGTCTTTCGCCCTACTATAGTGGTCGAGTGGAAAATGTAGGAGTCGACCAAATGGTGAATGTGCCTTGGGTTTACCCTGAGAAGGCACCAAGGGCTTATAGGCCCTACTGTGGTGGTTAAGTGGTAAATGTGGGAGTCGACCGACCAAAGGGTAAGAGTGCTTTGGGTTTACCCTGAGAAGGCACCAAGGGTTGGCGTTGGAGTTGGCGCTGAAGTTGTGGCTGTGGAGGTTTTTGTGGCCCTAGCTGCCACCTTATAGGCTCGGGCATGTTCCGTGTCCATGTACCCAATCAACACATGAGGGGGCAACTTCTGCTTGGTGTCGGCCAAGAAGTGGTGGATGAACTTCCGATTGAGTTGTTGGAAGCTGCTGATGGACTTCTTCTCAAGAGTGTTCCACCAGAACTTGACACTCCTCGAAAGAGTGATGGGAAAGCATCGACAGATGACTGTTTTTTATGCTTGGAGTATGCTCATCACATCATAGTAATTCTGAACATGCTCGGAGGGGTCTCCCTCGCCCTTGTATTTCTCCACGTAAGGCATCTTGAACTTCTCACATGGGGCATTCATGAGGTCATCTGAAAGAAGGGTGTTACCCCCGATGACGCCTACGATTGGTCTATACACTCGATCATATCCAGAGGCCCTAATGGTAGCCGAGGGGGCTGGAGAGGCACGGTAGTGGGGGAGAGTCTTAGAGACTATTCCTCTAGTACGATACCCAAGGTTGCCAGTGCCATGACTCTCGTCGGTGAGTTCCTGATGATGGAGGAGACGTCGGCGAGTCAACCGATAAGGTGGCGGGGTCGCGTGTTTGATGCGATCCTTCCGCTGATCGGCAACAGCATGAGGAGTCCGAGTCGGGATTGTTTGTTGTGCTCCAGAAGGCGGGATAGCAAAAAATGCTTGCTGCGGCTGTGGAAGTAGCAAAAAATGCTTGTTGCGTCTGTGGAAGCCGTCTGAGAAGCTCGCTGGTGAAGGAAGCGAATTGCTCTTGGAAAGATTGAGAAATCTTTTGAGCTGTTGCTTCAAGGTGAGCTTGAGTAGCGTAGCTCTGATGGGGTCCTCCAGGGCGAGACTGCTCGGCCTTATCTTCAGAACCAGACATGTTCTCTCGAAAAAGAAAAAGGGCCCCACGGTGGGCGCAAAACTATTGATGCTGGATCAAACAGCCAAAGAAAGAGTGCCCCACGGTAGGTGCCAAACTGTTTACGTTGGATCAAACAGCCAAAGAAAGAGTACCCACGGTGGCGCAAAACTGTTGATGTTGCTAGAGCTCAAACAGTCGGATAGCATCCGTGGTGGGACGAGATGATGATGATGGATGGGGCTGCTTCCTTCCCCGAATGTCCGGCTCGGAGTGGGGGAGTTGCTCAGCCTGCACAGGGAAAGACTCGTGAGAGGACGAGGTTTGGATCCTCGTGGTACCTTCAACGATCAAGTCAGCTGGTGAACTTGAGTGAGGTGAGAAGAACTGTGAGAGTTCTTGTGTGCAGTAAGATGCAAAGGAATTCGTGGAAAATCCCCAGAGTCTGATGTTAGATTGAAATCAGATCTGCGTTGAGGGTTTGAATCTAGAGATCTCGTCCCCTGCTAAGTTAGAATAGTACATCTATTTATACATGTGGGTATGAGGGGTAGAACCGTCATTCTGGCCGAGCACAGGATGGCGGTGAATAAGTGTATGCTGGCGGTTGTTAACACTTGCTTTACAGGTGTTGGCTGGCGACTAGCTGCGTGATCTGCGCTGACATGATGTGATGTGTGGCGCACGAAGCACAACATGGCCTAATAAGTCATGAAGACTGTCGAGGGCAGAGGCATGATGATGTCTGACAAGCATTGATGAGATGCTGACATGTTGTCAGGGGGAGAGGCTCGAGGCTAAAGTCGTCCTCTGACTTGACCGAGAAATGACACCTCTCGAGTCGACCTCGCAGGGGGGTCGAGTTGACTGGGTTGAGTGGGCTCATGGTGAGTCGCCTTCGACAAAGGGGGTCGACAAGTTCCGCCTTTCGAGTCGTCCTAAGGGGATGTCGACTCGGCGAGTCAGCTGAGGGGAGATCCTTGCTGATCTTGACCACCAATCTGGTTGGGACGTTGCAGGCAAAAGTACACTTGTACTGTTGCTGGTGAAGGGCTGCACTTGGTGATTGAGAACACTGTAACATTAACATTTACATGTGCTGAAATTTAGGGGACGTTTGCATTCCGGTAGTTCACTCATTTTAACTTTGACATCTTGAATTTCTATTTGGCAATTTGCTACCCCAAAGTGTGATTTTGTTAAAGAATATTTAAAGATAACATATAGAAAAGTAAATGAGAGACCTATGTTATTAAAAAATTTCGGGCTTTTGAGTTCCGGTGAAGAGAGGAACAAACGTAAGGTTTAGGTGGGGTCAAATGCGTCAAACTTTTAAACAGAATTTTAAGATCAAATTAGTAAAGGGCAAATCAGCCCTTCTACTGATAACAAGGAAAGTACCCGCTGATGCCACTCGAGCATACTACGATAAAGATTGGTGGGCGAGGCTAGGCGTGTATAAGAGCCACTGCAGTAAAAGCCCAGTAGCCCACCTCTCTCCCTCCCTCCCTCCCTCCCTCTCTCTCTGCTTTTGTTTCTCTTCGCCTTATCGCCGTCCTCACCAAAAAATAAAAATAAAAATAGAAGGGTCAAAATAAATAATAAAAATGAAAGAAACTTTCTCACTAGTTTATTAAAAAGCCCTCTTCTGAGTTCCTCCAAGCCCTAGCATCGTCCATCGGGCGCTCTCCTTCCCGATATTACCCAACGCTAAACCCTAGCCCTAACCTAAAGCCCTATCTACTTGTCCTCTCTTCAATAAAAAGCCCTAAACTCCTCCAACAACAGATAGAAGATGTATCTTTACAACCTAACCCTGCAGCAGGCGACGGGCGCTGTTTGTGCGATCAATGGCAACTTCGCCGGCGGCAAATCCCAAGAGATCGTTGTTGCCCGTGGAAAGACCCTCGACCTTCTCCGCCCTGACGATTCCGGCAAGATCCAGACCCTGCACTCCGTCGACGTCTTCGGCGCCATCAGGTCCCTCGCCCACTTCCGTCTCACCGGGTCCCACAAGGACTACATCGTCGTGGGCTCCGACTCGGGCCGCATCGTCATCCTCGAGTACCAAAAGGACACGCCTCACCATCTCCTCCCCCCTCGAAGCTCACAAGTCCCACACCGTAACCTACTCCATCACCGGTGTCGACTGCGGCTTTGACAACCCCATCTTCGCTGCCATCGAGCTCGACTACTCCGAGGCCGACCAGGACTCTACAGGTAATTTAACTGAATACTAAAGGTATATTCATTTTTTTTAATTTATAATTGAAAATTATTCATTTGTAATTATGATGTCTATATATTTAATTCGAATATTTCGTTAGAAAATTGATTTAATATACACAACTGAAATAGTAAATGTAAATGGGTTGAAAATATAACATCGTGTGTGTAGTATGATACAAATTATAAGAGATTAAATTTTAAACGAAGATTTAATATGTAAGAAAACAAATTGTATGTACATTTGGTTAACCTCTATTCATTTATGAATTCGAATACTTAAAATTAATTTTTTAGTGATGAACTACCAAATCGAACATGACTGAATAACAATTAACAAACTGTTTGTTAATTATCTACAGGTCAGGCTGCCGCCGATGCTCAGAAGCACCTCACATTCTATGAGCTCGATCTCGGCCTCAACCATGTTTCCCGCAAGTGGACCGAGCCTATCGACAATGGGGCTAATCTCCTTGTAACTGTCCCTGGAGGTGGAGATGGACCCAGCGGCGTCCTCGTCTGTGCCGAGAACTTTGTCATCTACAAGAACCAGGGACATCCCGATGTGCGTGCGGTCATACCTCGGAGAGCTGATCTCCCTGCAGAGCGTGGAGTCCTCATAGTCTCCGCTGCCACCCATCGTCAGAAGTCCATGTTCTTTTTCCTCTTGCAGACCGAATATGGCGACGTCTTCAAGGCCACTCTTATCCACGAGGGCGATCGTGTCACTGAGCTCAAGATTAAGTACTTTGACACCATTCCGGTCACCTCTGCCATGTGCGTCCTCAAGAGTGGGTACCTATTTGCTGCTTCGGAATTCGGAAACCACGGGCTCTACCAGTTTCAGGCGATTGGGGATGGAGATGATGTTGAGGCCTCCTCTGAGACTCTGATGGAAACGGAGGAAGGCTTCCAGCCGGTCTTTTTCCAGCCGCGAGGCTTGAAGAACCTTGTGAGGATCGACCACATTGCGAGCCTCATGCCTATCATGGACATGAGAGTCATGAACCTTTTCGAGGAGGAGACACCTCAGATATTCACTCTGTGTGGGCGGGGCCCTCGTTCCTCCCTTAGGATATTGAGACCTGGGTTGGCTATCAGCGAGATGGCTGTGGAGAGGCTCCCTGCTGTGCCCAACGCTGTGTGGACAGTGAAGAAGAATGTGACTGATGAGTTTGATGCGTATATTGTTGTCTCCTTCCCCAATGCTACCCTTGTCCTGTCGATCGGTGAGACAGTTGAGGAAGTCAGTGACAGCGGGTTTCTTGACACCACGCCTTCACTTGCGGTTTCTTTGCTCGGGGATGATTCCCTGATGCAGGTCCATCCGAATAACTCAAGCATTTGATATCGAGAACTAGTTGATTTTTGTGTACTTGACCAGGCATTAATTCAATAACTCAAGTATTTATGTGACCACATATACATGTATAGTATTACACTATTTAATTGGATAATTAAAGTGAAATGATAAATTGAAATTGTGAGTATAGAAAAATGTATTAATTATCCAACCTTGATTATCTGATGCAGGTCCATCCGAATGGTATTCGACACATCAGAGAAGATGGGCGTATTAACGAATGGAAGACGCCTGGCAAGAAGACCATCGTCAAGGTTGGATCTAACAGGCTTCAGGTTGTCATTGCTCTCAGTGGAGGGGAGCTTATATACTTTGAGATGGACATGACAGGTCAGCTGATGTCAGGTTGTCATTGCTCTCAGTGGAGGGGAGCTTATATACTTTGAGATGGACATGACAGGTCAGCTGATGGAGGTGGAGAAGCATGAGATGCCTGGGGGAGCTTATATACTTTGAGATGGACATGACAGGTCAGCTGATGGAGGTGGAGAAGCATGAGATGCCTGGGGATGTGGCCTGCTTGGACATTGCGCCTGTTCCTGAAGGGAAGCAGAGGTCTCGTTTCCTTGCAGTTGGCTCCTATGACAACACTATACGCATTCTGTCGCTGGATCCTGATGATTGTATGCAGGTTTTGAGTGTGCAGAGCGTGTCCTCACCTCCGGAATCACTTCTCTTGCTTGAAGTGCAGGCTTCCACTGGAGGAGAGGACGGTGCCGATCACCCTGCCAGTGTATTTCTTAATGCTGGTCTGCAAAATGGTGTCCTTTTCAGAACTGTAGTGGATATGGTCACTGGACAGCTCTCTGATACTCGTTCACGTTTCTTGGGTTTGAGAGCCCCGAAACTCTTTTCAGCAACAGTAAGGGGCAGGCAGGCTATGCTTTGTTTGTCAAGCCGCCCTTGGCTGGGGTATATACATCAGGGGCATTTTCTGTTAACTCCTCTTTCCTACGAAACACTTGAGTTTGCTGCCTCGTTCTCCTCCGACCAGTGTGCCGAGGGTGTAGTTGCAGTTGCTGGAGATGCTTTGAGGGTTTTTACTATTGAGCGGCTGGGGGAAACATTCAATGAGACGGTAATACCTTTGCGCTATACTCCAAGGAAGTTTGTCCTCCAGCCCAAGAGGAAACTCCTAGTCATCATAGAGAGTGATCAGGGAGCTTTCACTGCAGAAGAGCGCGAAGCTGCGAGAAAAGAGTGCTTGGAGGCTGCAGGTGTTGGTGAAAATGGAAATGCAAATAATGGTGAACAGATGGAAAATGGTGCTGACGATGAGGAGAAGGAGGATCCTCTTTCTGACGAGCAGTATGGTTATCCGAAGGCAGAATCAGATAAGTGGGCGTCTTGCATCAGAGTTCTCGATCCAAGGTCAGGAAACACTACTTGTTTGCTGGAGCTGCAGGACAATGAGGCTGCTTTTAGCGCATGTACTGTGAATTTTCATGATAAGGAGCATGGGACGCTACTTGCTGTGGGTACAGCAAAGGGGTTGCAGTTCTGGCCAAAGAGGACTTTTGTTGCTGGGTTTATTCACATATACAGGTTTGTAGAAGATGGAAAATCCCTTGAATTGCTGCATAAGACACAGGTGGAGGGAATTCCACTAGCCTTGTGTCAGTTCCAGGGGAGGCTTCTTGCTGGGATCGGCCCAGTTCTCAGATTGTATGATCTGGGGAAAAGGAGACTACTCAGGAAATGTGAGAACAAACTCTTCCCAAATACAATTATCTCTATTCACACATACCGGGACAGGATTTATGTTGGTGACATCCAAGAGGTATGTGGTACTACTTCTCCGTATGATTCTAATTCAGTATTTTGGTGTTCCTAAGAAGTTAAATTTGTTGAAAACTGATGCTTTCCCTTTCATATTTTCTTTACTGGTAAAAGTTTCTTTCTCCTGCACTAAATGTCCCACGAATATTAGTTGGGGATGGCAAGCTTTGGGGTACAAGGTGGCAGGTCTTCTTTATAATGTTATACGACCTTTAAACATGATTATTATGTGTATAGGTGTTTTCTTGTGCAAAATTTAATATCAGTATTTATGCTTCTATATTATTTGTAACTTGAAGCTTAATGCAAGATTTGTCAACTTTATTTATTTTCTTACAGGATATTAGCGTAGAATGAAGCTGTCTTTTGTTTTGAGAAGACAACACATTTCACCTTGTCTTTTGTATTCTTCCTACAGGACCTTGTGTTTTTAGTAAGTTACACGTGTCTTTCCATCAGGAAGCAGATCACAAAAAGCCAAACTAATGATGTATTCTGACGAACTGACCATGGTTTCACTTATATTTGCAATTTCTGAGCTATAGACACAAATTCAGTCTATTGAGCAAATACCCACAACACTCATCTTATATCAATGTGGATAAGTTAAGAGCACTAGCCTGTTCACATGTCCCTAACATGGAAAAGTTACATGTGTATGCGTGTGTGTGTGTGGAAATATTATATTGTTTAGCCATATAAATTGCAAAATTTTAGGTCAACCATATGTCATCAAACTGGCACACTATAGAAGTTGGTTTTAGTTGTGAGACATTTGTTACCGTCTTAGTAAACCTGTTCAGAAATGTTGAGCCGTGCAAGACTACAAGCATATTTAATCTATGGGGCATTTATTATGTTGGTTGTTCATATTTAGATTGAAGGGTTAGTTGCACACAGATGCCAATAGTATCGCATTGTGCCATTTATTAATATTGATAGTTAGTTAGATACACTCCTTGAATGGAAAGTTTTTGACTCTTTTACTCTCAGCGGCCTATTTCTCACCAAAAAAAAAAGTAGGCATCCCCTAAGGGTAAAAGTATATTTTTAGAATTCTTTATCTTTTCCAGTACTATCAAATGTAGAAATGGGAGGGACTAGCAAATTTTATTCCTTATTATCCATGTGGTCCTGTTATGTCAGGTGCTTTGTCAATAATCTGGTAGCCAAGCTATATGTTGCACTGGAGTTAGATGTGGTTGTTTCTAGTTTATGATGACAAATTTTTTCTTAACAATCAGGAAGCTTGCTTTGGTTTTGTTCCTAAAGATCCAAACCTAAACATTATCAGTCATCTGATTAAAGTTCTCTTATGACGATTTCTTACTTATGTATGAACAAAATGGTAAAAAAATGGTTAAAAAAATTGTGATGATTTTCAGTATAAAAATTGAACCGTGCAGGACTAGGAGCATATTTGATCTTGTGGGGCATTTATTGTGTTGGTCTGTTCATATTTTGAGTAAAGGGTTAATTGCGCATAGACCCCATCAGTATTGCATTGTGCCACTTATACAGGTAAAAGTTTTGGCTATCGGGCAGATGCGCACCCCCCACACGGAAAGTTTTTTTTTTTTTTGGACTCTTTTACTCCCATGGATCTATTTGCTGAAAAAACAATAGTAGGCCTCTCCGAAGGGTTTTTAAAAAAAACTCAGGGGGTGTATCTGCCAATATCAAACTTAAGGAGTAATAAGTAGCACGATGCCATACTACAAGAATGTTTGTGCAGTTCAACCCTACATTAAAATTTGAACATTATTTTATATAAAGATTGATAAAGTTTGAGCTCGTTTTAGGCCACTATTTTGAGATCATCTTGATCATGTATGTCCCTTCATTCCCATCTTTCTCTATGCACACATGAACACTGCAAGAAGAGAATTGTTCGCATGAATCAGTTAGTGCTTATTCTACATGTTTGAGGTGGTTTGCTAATTTATTTTGCACTTCTGGGTGTGATTGCAGTCATTTCACTACTGCAAGTATAGACGGGATGAAAATCAACTTTACATATTCGCAGACGATTCTGTTCCCAGGTGGCTAACAGCATCATATCATATAGATTTTGACACAATGGCTGGGGCAGACAAGTTTGGAAATGTTTATTTTGTACGACTGCCACAGGATGTCTCGGATGAGATTGAAGAAGACCCAACTGGTGGTAAGATAAAGTGGGAACAAGGGAAGTTGAATGGCGCTCCCAACAAGGTGGAGGAGATTGTTCAGTTCCATGTTGGCGATGTTGTCACAGCCTTGCAGAAGGCCTCATTGATACCTGGGGGTGGTGAGTGCATCATTTATGGCACTGTTATGGGCAGCTTAGGAGCATTACTTGCATTCACCTCTAGAGAAGATGTTGATTTCTTCTCTCATTTGGAGATGCACATGAGGCAGGAACATCCACCATTATGTGGCAGGGATCACATGGCTTACAGATCCGCATATTTCCCAGTTAAGGTACGTTTTATTGGCACATGTTCCACTCATCCATTGCTCATGCTGCTTGATGAATACATACATTTTTTTTCATAACATTATAGCTTTGGTTGCCTGGTGTTTAATTTTTCAAGATGAGTCGGTTTCTTCTCCTGATCTCTGTTACTTTTCAGTATATGTCCAGTAAAAGAAGCCAGACTTTCTCTTCTTTATTTTTCTGAAGCCAGACTTTCTCTTCTTTATTTTTCTTTCTAATGGTGTTACACATCAAAGAGATTGGTGCTTTTGGCCTTGAAAGATCTAACTCCAGGGTCAACCTTAGGAAAAAAAATTGATTAGTTCTCTGGTGCTAGAGGGTGGCAATCTTTGTTGAACCTTCATTGTTTCACACATCTCCATCTTAATACTGACTAGCATCATAATAGACTGAAGATAATCAGAAATTATAACCCTAAGACTTGGTTCTTGTCCTAGACTTGGTCCTTTTTAATCAGTGCCAAGTAACTAAGTATGAACTGTGTTAAACAATAAATTGGACCTTCTTTCTCTCTTTATTTTGATGTTATGATCGTCAAATTTAAGTCTATGATAGTCTTTTTATGAAAAATTGATGAACTGTCTGGTGCTTGCTATTGCAACCAACTTTTCTGATAATAGTTTGTTTCATGCACTCGGTTTTCTCATTACACAATCATATATTGCCTATTTTGTTATCAGAAAGGTGAAATGTCTTACATAAGTATACTCATGGAAGCATAATGGAAAAGATACCTTCCGTTAGTTTTTGATTAACTAGATAGAAACATGAATAAGCATAGGGATATGAATGTGTTGAAGATTAAATGCCATGGTTGGAGGTACAAAGTTATGAACCTGCTCTGATCATGCTCTCCTCTATCATAATAGAAGTACATGAACTTATGTGGTTCCCATCAGTGTTTGGGCTCGTGCCCGGTGCAATCAATTGCAGGCAAGATGCTTTAACTAAAGAACAAGCGGTCAAAATTACATGCATCTGTTGACTATTGATCAGTGTTAAATCATGGACGACGCTTGATTCTGTGAAAAGTTACTGCTTGCACCATGACAATTTCTATACTTTCAAAGGGAAATTGAGGTGGACTTGTGAATGAGGCTTACCCCCCAACTTCCAAGCAAAACTTATGAGTTGAGTTAACAAATTTCTGTACTGAAAATTGAGGTGAACTTGTGAATGAGACTTTCCCCTGCAACACTTATGAGTTGAATTACCAATCGTAGGGGAATTTGGACATGGTAGGGTTAATTCAGAAACCCTGTTAACTTTGGAGGGTTTGCAGGTAACTCCCCTCCCTTAACTGTTTTAATTCAGCCCGTGACCTTTGAGGGGTTCTGCGTATAACCCCCTGAACCTCTTTTATCCCAATAAACCAGCACTAACATGATCTTTATATGGGTGGAACTACTGTTTCTCACAATGCATGTTGTATTTGCCTGCAGGATGTGATTGATGGTGATCTCTGTGAGCAATTCCCTACATTACCTCCTGATTTGCAGAGAAAGATTGCTGATGAATTGGATAGAACCCCGGGGGAGATTCTCAAGAAGTTGGAGGATGCTAGAAATAAGATCATCTGAGAAACTGAGAGCAAATCGCAATGTATTGACACACAAGCAAACACGGAAAGCCTATCTCCGGAAGCTTGCCTTTGTAACAAGTGAAACCTTTTTGGTGTCAGTGGGTTATACATCCAGTTTTCTTGCAAAGCTGCAGAATGACCGCCTAGTTATCAGATGAAAATTCATGTACCAGCAAAGTCTATCTTTGGACCTGTTAAATTGTTTAACCGTTTGTGGGAAACGAACCACTGGGATTGTCTTATTTTAAGGTGGTGCTACGCCTTTTGTGTTCATAGTTCTGGTATGGCTCTGACGTCCGATCCCGGGCGTGGTAATTTAAGGGGGTGTTTGGTTACATTTCTATAAATTATAGGAAATGTTTTCCATCCCAAATTTGATTTCCTTGTATTTCTTAAAAAAATTATAGGAAAAGTTTTGAGAAGTTAAAAAGTATAAATTTTCTTATTTTTTGTATTGTGCTTGTTTGGTTCAAAACAAGAAAATGAGAAATAACTTTTGGGAAAATAGCAACATTTCCTATAATTTATAGAAATGTAACCAAACACCACCAACTTTATAGAAAAGTGAGAACTTTTTAGAAAAGAGTTAATAAGTTATATTATTTAAATAATGAATGCGTTAGATTTCCAAGAGATTTCCTCCCATTTTAGAAGGAAATCAATTTCCATAAAATTTGGTACTTTTGGGCACTTTACAGAAAACATTTCTGTAAATTTTTTGGAGCCAAACACAGTTTATAGAAATGTATAGAAAACTCTTAATTACATAAATGCCATGCGTCAGTACTTTTGAGAAAACATTTCTTAAAAACAATGCAACCAAACACCCCCTAAGAGGAAAAGAAAAGAAAAATCTCTTTATCTTCATGTGGCCGTTGGCGCTCCGAAAGCATATTCTGTTGGGTTAATTTCAAAAGAAAAATCTCTTTATCTTCATGTGGCCGTTGGCGCTCCGAAAGCATATTCTGTTGGGTTAATTTCACAAAACCCCTCATGAACTTTGGGGGATGTCGTAATAATCCCCAAACTTTGTTTATCACACATGCCCCTTAAACTATAAGGTATTTCACAAAATTTCCTTGGATTTTAGCTTGTCACACTTAAACTCATGCGTGTGAAATGCAAATAACTTAAATTTTCATGAGAGAAAAAAATTAAAATTTAGGGAAAGGTCTATGTTGCTTGTAAATGACAAATGATAAAGTTTGAAAAAATTTTCATTCAGAGATATTTTAGTTATTTACAAATTACTGAATAGGGTGATGAGATAAGCTAAAATTCAATAAGGTTTTGTGAGACATCCCATAGTTTAGATGGGCTATGTAAGATGAGCTTTAGGTTATGTATAAGATGAGCTTTAGGTTATGTAAGATAAAACAAAGTTTAGACAGGTTATGTGGAACATCCCCAAAGTTCGGGAGGTTTGTGAAATTAACCCTTTTTTCTTCATCATTTCTATAGCTCCGTTGTTCATGCTACGTTCTATTTTCTACCGCGTCTGCAAGCACCAACCTATGTCCATTGTCCCATTGTTCATGCTACGTTCCATTTTCTACCGCGTCTGCAAGCACCAACCTATGTCCATTGTCAGTAATATGCTAGCAAGCATCATTGGAAAATTTGGTCACAATTAAAATAGTTATCAGTTATTATTCTCTGAAAATCCATTCAACTTATAAATTCATAGCTTTGAGTTCTTTTCTTTTTTTTTTTTCAATTTTTTCCTAGATGAGTGGTGATGCTGAATGGACCAAAGTCTGTTACAAATCCAGCAAAGTTGAATTGTGGAGCAACCCGCACTCTGGGACACTGACAGTCAGGAAGGTGGATGTTTGATCAATTGAAAGTGGATTTGAAAATGCAATTTCTTTTTTTTTATATGTAAAGTAAAAGTATATCCATGTCAGTGAAATATTATTTCTTGAAACTGGAAGACTGAAGAGGTAACGATGATATGATAATATTATTTTATTGTTATTTTATTTATTTATCTAAAAATGTTTTGTTTTTCGTCAATCGTGGTAGTCTCCCTTCTTTCAGCCTGCATTCGGCGCTTTTACAAGAAAAATGAAATATGCATCAAATAATTTCAAGTGGTTTTTGCCTTAAGGGATAATGATACATCCTGTTTTATCTTAAGCCTAAGTATTTTGTTATGTACCTTTGAACTCAATCATCTTTATATATTTATCTCCTAGGCCAACTATTTTGTTTTGTACCTTGGAATTCTCAAATACAGTACATAAGTTAGTGGATCCCCTTTAAACTTATCTAAAAATCCCAATTTACCTATATTTATCTCCAAGCCTAACTATTTTATTTTGTACATCGAATCTAATCTTGTTTATATATTTATCTCTAAGCCTAAATTCTCAAATACAATACATAAGTTAGCGGTCCCCTTTAAATTTTCTAAAAATCCCAATTTACCCCCCTCTCTCTCTCTTTCTTATTTATTCCCCCCTCTCTAACATCCTATACTCTCTTACTTTCATTCTTTAATTCTCATGAGCCCATAAATTACTCCTCAACTCCATTGATATATAGAGTTTGATTGCTCAATTTTGGTAGAAATTCGTCACTTTTTTATATTTTAAAATATATTTTTTGTCCTTTACTCAACTTTTAAATTTGTAGCATTAATTTTGTATTTTTCTTCATCAAAATTATTTCATATTATTGTTTATTATAGTTAATATGAAAAATTAATTCTAAAAGTATTTTTCTTCATCAAAATTATTTCATATTATTGTTTATTATAGTTAATATGAAAAATTAATTCTAAAAAAAAAATCAAAATATTGATTTTAATTTTATTATTGTTTATTATAGTTAATATGAAAAATTAATTCTAAAAAAAAAATCAAAATATTGATTTTAATTTTAGAATTAGATTTAATTTTATTTTTTATAATAAACAAAGATGAATGAAGATTTCTACTTTACTTTCATAAAACTCACTATACTTCACCAAAACTTGAAATACTTATAGAAATATCTAGTATTCTTTCACCCAAACCTGTTATACTTAGAGACAAACATGTTGTACTTGTAGGAAAACTTGCTATACTTTCACCAAAACTTGCTATACTTACAAAAAAATCTGCTATACTTACAGAAAAACCTGCTACACTTTCACCAAAAAATTGATATACTTGTAGAAAAACATGGTATACTTATAGAAAACCGGCCATACTTTCACTAAAACCTGCTATACTTATAGTACTGGTGAAAGTATAGCGGGTTTGGTGAAAATATAACATGTTTTGTTGAAAATACACAGTACAAATCTTCATTCTTATCTGTTTGTCACAATAAATAAATAAATATGTGTAAATTTTATAAAAAATAGTCAACTTAAACCAAATTTAACAAACTATGAAATTTGATCTTACAACAAATTAAAAATCATAATTATGAAATTAAAATTATAATTCCAAAATTAAATCATAATTCTAAAATTAAATATAATTTTAATATTAAAATTAACATTTTGAATTTTTTGTATTAATTGTAACAAACAACCGTGAGGATTCATGAATAATAATGTGAAATAATTTTTGTGAAGAAAATGAGAAATTAATGCTATAAATATAAAAGTTAGAAGTTAGGGAAAAATGTATCAAGGCCCCAAAAGCAAAAACTTTATGTGACCAGCCCCCTTGTATTTCCCCCCATGTGGATAAGCCCCAAATACCTACAGTATTTGTGACGAGGCCCTAAAGTATCACTTTTAAAAAAAAGCCCATGGGAAGTTACGAACTTACCCCTTTGATGGGACTGTACTCATTTACTGCTGTAGAGTGTTAGTTCTAATCTGCACAGTGTTAGTTCTATTCTGTAGAGTGTTAGTTCTAATCTGCACAGTGTTAGTTCTATTCTGTAGAGTGTTAGTTCTAATCTGCACAGTGTTAGTTCTATTCTGTAGAGTGTTAGTTCTAATCTGCACAGTGTTAGTTCTGTTCTGTAGAGTGTTAGTTCTAATCTGCACAGTGTTAGTTCTATTCTGTAGAGTGTTAGTTCTATTCTGCACAGTGTTAGTTCCGTTCTGTAGAGTGTTAGTTCTAATCTGCACAGTGTTAGTTCTATTCTGTAGAGTGTTAGTTCTATTCTGCACAGTGTTAGTTCCGTTCTGTAGAGTGTTAGTTCTAATCTGCACAGTGTTAGTTCTATTCTGTAGAGTGTTAGTTCTAATCTGCACAGTGTTAGTTCTATTCTGTAGAGTGTTAGTTCTAATCTGCACAGTGTTAGTTCTATTCTGTAGAGTGTTAGTTCTAATCTGCACAGTGTTAGTTCTATTCTGTAGAGTGTTAGTTCTAATCTGCACAGTGTTAGTTCTATTCTGTAGAGTGTTAGTTCTAATCTGCACAGTGTTAGTTCTATTCTGTAGAGTGTTAGTTCTAATCTGCACAGTGTTAGTTCTATTCTGTAGAGTGTTAGTTCTAATCTGCACAGTGTTAGTTCTATTCTGTAGAGTGTTAGTTCTAATCTGCACAGTGTTAGTTCTAATCTGTAGAGTGTTAGTTCTATTCTGCACAGTGTTCGTTCTAATCTGTAGCTTGTGATGGCTTGTTAGTTCTATTTTATTACACGTTATATCTAATTTATACCACGTTATATATCTAATTTATGTTAGTTCTATTTTATGCCAAGTTATAAACCTAATTTATACCACGTTATATCTCATTTTATACCAAGTTATTTCTAATTTATACCAAGTTAGTTCTATTTTATACCACGTTATAAACCTAATTTATACCACGTTATAAAACTAATTTATACCACGTTAGATCTAATTTATACCAAGTTAGATCTATTTTTTACTACGTTATAAACCTAATTTATACCACGTTAGATCTAATTTATACCACGTTATATCTAATTTGTGTTAGTTCTATTTTATATCACGTTATAAACCTAATTTATACCACGTTATATCTTAATTTAAACCACATTAGTTCTAATTTATACCAAGTTAGTTCTATTTTATACCAAGTTAGCTCTAATTTTAACCACGTTAGTTCTAATTTATACCACGTTAATTCTAATTTATACCACGTTAATTCTATTTTATAACATGTTAGTTCTAATTTATACCAAATTAGTTCTATTTTATACCACGTTGGTTCTAATTTATACCACATTAGTTCTAATTTATACCACGTTAGTTCTAATTTATAACAAGTTAGTTCTAATTTATACCATTTTAGTTCTATTTTATACCACGTTAGTTCTATTCTGTAGAGTGTTAGTTCTAATCTGCACAGTGTTAGTTCTATTCTGTAGAGTGTTAGTTCTAATCTGTACAGTGTTAGTTCTATTCT